TGTGGTGTTCGCAGGCGCTGTGTTCACGAGCGCTTTGATGTTCACAGGCGCTGTGGTGTTGACGGACGCTGTGCTCTTCACAGGCACGTCGAGTTGATCGGATCGCAAGATGTTGTGGCGCTGGTCGCAGGCACGTCGTGGTTGTCGGGTCGCAGGCGATTGTTTTTCGCAGGCACATTGCGGTGCTTACGGGCATGCTGCGGCACCCCAGGCGCACCCCCGCCGTGGCGTGACGGGCTCGACGTACCCCCGCTGCAGGAATTCGTCGACCACGCGGTGGACGATCAGAAACGGCGTGGGGCCGATCCCCCGCCAGGGGCCCGCGCGCCAGCAAGGACTCGCTACGCGCGGATGTTCCGCGCCGCTGCCGAGGAGAGTCGCAGCGAGTTGTGGGGGCCCTAGAGTGGGCCCGCTGGAGGCCTCGCGTGCTCCGGCTGTTCGACGAGATGGAGGCGCCCTCGCTGGAACTGGCGCGGTCTTGCATGGACCGGGAGCGGGTGCTAGATGGCATCGCGGGCCGTGCGCGCCTTAAAACAGTGAGGTCGTACGTGCGTTCGGGTGAGACGTTGCGTCGATGGTTCCCGCGCGCGCAGTATCCTGCGGCCGAAATCGGTAGTACATACCATCGTCTACGTGCACGCCAGAGCTGCCGAGCCTTGTGGGCCGACGGTGCCCGACCAGGCCGTCCGTGCCCTAAGCGCGCGGCGGGCCTCGACCCGAACGCCAGGCTCCCCGCTGTGCCGGATGTCCAAGAGGCTCGTCAAGATACGAGTGTAGCACGTTTGCACGTTGGCCTGCGAGCGGGTTGGCCTGCGAGTTCGAGTGCGAGATTTACTGCAACACCATCGGCACCTTCGGCATTCCCAGCGCCTCGGAGTGGTGGGCCAGGCCGTTCGGCGCCCTGCTGCGGGCGAATCGCTGCCTGCCGGGCGCCGTCTGGCCCGACGAAAGCTCACCTTTGACAACAACCTGGAGGCGATCGGCTTAGAGCGCCGCGGGAGATTGGCCGCCCTCCTCGTCATGTTTTTGTTATCGGCGCCTTCGGCTACCTGGCGCAGAGGGCAAAAAGACCGGGGCGACCTCGGTGGATTGGATTGGCCTCCGCTGCGGCTGCGTCGCCTACGCCACGGGCTTCTCGAGGGCGAGGGCATGGCAGGCGGTGGACCGGTGCCTGGAAACAGCTGGATGCGGCGCCATTTGCGCGAGCGAGATGGCGTCGGGCGTGGGGCGCCTGCGCTTCGCAGCGATGGTCCTCGCCCGGGAGAACCGCCCCCTCGGCCCGTTGCCGCTTGGCCCGCCCGCCTCGCAAGAGCAGGGGGGCAGGGGGCCTGCTTGCCGTGGGCGATCAAGAAGCTCGCGCTGACGTGGATCGGCCAGCGGCAGGCAGGAGGGCGGGCAATTGCAGCGCCAATCCATTTCGTGGCCGAGGGCGCCAGACATGTCCGCTCGGGCGCGAAGGTAGAGACGAGGCGCCGTTGGATATGCGGCTGGGAAGCACCGGCGGGAGGCAGCACCGAGGTGCCCGCTGGCGCGCGCTGGAGGTGCAGAAGGCCGACTTCCGATGGGCGCGGGCCATGGCAGGCGACCCGAACGGGGCCATCGCGGCGCTGGAGCTCCGCGGCACGATCCCGCGGCGCCCAGGGCCACGTCGACCGCGCGGCTGCCGACGGCCCTACTCATCGAGCTCTCGGAGGAGCTTAGGTCGCGCAAGCAAGACGGCGCTGGGCTCGGATTGGCCCCCGCGCGAGGACAATCAGGCGGCGGGCGACCTCGGCAACGTGATGACGACGGACCCTGACGAGCCCCTGAGGACCCAGGCGGCGACCTTGGACCTGAAGCGGCACGCGCTCGACGACATGACGCCGGCATCCCTGGGGCTTTTCTACGCGATTGTCGGGGGGGGGGACGCGGCCGCCGCGGGGGCGGCCCCCGCCTCTGGGGGCGACTGCGGGCGCCGCGGGCAACGTGTGCGACTAGAGCCGCGGCGATAGCTACTCCCGGATTCGCCTCTTGCAGCATCGGAAAGGCGGAGCCAGATTGCGGCGAGCGTCAGCGGCGTCAAGGTTCCACGCGACCCTTCGGGCTGGGGGTCCGACCGCGGCGTCGCACAGGCAGGCTAGGGTTTCGACGAGCGTCAGCAGCGTCGGGGCCCCACGCGACCCTTCGGCACGCGGGCTCGATCGCGGGGTGATGGCGTGCTTTCGAGATAGTCTTGAGTCCCCGCCCTGCGGCGGGCGCCGCCAAGGCGGGAGTTCCTTCCTGGCCGCGGGGGCCCCATCCTTCCACTGCAAGGGGGGGGTTTGTCCAGGGCGGATGGCGAGCCTCGATCGCAGCAGGCCCTATGGAGGATTTGTGGGGCTTCGGGACCGCGCCCGCGCTGCGCTTCTGCACGCGCGTGGCGCGGCGCGGGCGGGGGCGGTGGTGCCCGTGGCAGTCGGGAGGTCGAAGGCGCGATATGAGGTGGGCCTCCTCGCGCGGCCTAGGCAGCCCCCGGTGCCCTGGCTGCCCGCCCGGGGGCGGGCGGCCCTCCCGGCGGGGTCGGGCAAAGGGGGGGCGCCGAAGCCGAGGGAGTGGTCCACGGCGAGAAGGATGGGCCCCTGGACGCTCGCAGCGTCCAGAGGGGGGGCCCGGGATCCGCCTCCTCACCTCCAGGTCTGCTCTCCCTTCTGGTGCCGCACGCCCATCGCCCTTGTGGAGGCATCGAGTACCTGGGGGCGCAGCGAGGGCCCTGCGCCGGGGCCTCCGAGACCGCCGCCCGTAAAAGAGGTATCTCCTGACGCGGCGACAGCCCGCCTCGCAGCCGCACCGGCGCCGAGCTCCTGCCACGGCAGCACCCAGCTCTGGTGCCGACGAGCTCGGCCGTCGGCGGTGCCGGCCACGACTGGGTGGACCTTCGAGCCCGAGCGCACGCGCCCGCGCTGCCGCCACGCCGAGGCGGCCCGAACCTACGTGCGCATGCCAGGGGTGGGGGTGGGTGGGGGGTCGCACCGCTATCAGGGCTCATGGAGGATAGGCCCCCGTCAACACGTAAATCTCACACCAGAGAAAAGCCCAATCAGTGGATGGTTGGACAAATCGTGATTAAGACATCCCTAATGGGACCGATAGTGGGATCGACAGTAAGGACGATCGTGAGGTCGATCGTGAGACAGACCGTGAAGGCGACTCAGTAAGATCGATAGTGATATCGATCGTGAGTTCGCTCGTGCGATCTATAGTGGGATCGACTGTGAGATTACTAGAGAGGTGGGTAGTGAGATCGATGGTGAGACCGATCGATAAGGAGATCGGCCAGGAACCCGGCAAACCAGAAACCTGGGAATTCCCGCCGCCCACCTAAATCAGTCCGGAACCAACAACCGGGAACCTAGGAACCCGGAACCAAGATACCGGGAACCCGGCCGCCTACCGAAATCGGCACTGATTTTTTGCCAAATCTTCAATCTCCGTTAGGACCCGTTCAGTGCAAGCATTGATTGGGGATTGTCGTCCTGTCTGCCCGACGTTTGTGACCATTTGGGTTCAACCGTTCGGCCGATCTTGAACAGCCCACCCGCCACCCTGGGGCATCAAATTCCTGGGAGTGGCAGGGACCATGCGCCAGGGCCTCCGGAACCGCCACCCGTAAAAAAGAGGCATCTCCATCATGTCTTGCCCCATTTTTACTGCCTCATGGGGCCTCCCTTCCCCCGCCTTCTGTCCATCCTTCTCCTCCGTGTTCCCCCTCCCGCGCCCCCGTCCTTGCCACCGCCTTCGTCGTCGTCCACTCCCCCCCGTCCTTGTCCTCCTCCCCCCCCTCCCACGCCCTCTCCTTCCTGTACTCTCCCTCCTCCCCTCCCACGTCGTCCTATCTCCTGCGCCTGCTTGTCATCTGCCGAAATGGTTCGTGCGAGTGTCCAGTCTCAGACACAGGAGTTCGTTGCACCATGGCGTAAGACAGGAGTAGTTCCCTCGTCCACCGTCCAAGCCAAACCCTCTTGCAACACGGTAGCGAGGCATTTTGTTGAATGTCACGTCGGCATATCTATGCCGAAATCATCCTGGACTGCCAGCCGGAAGCGGCTACCAGCAAGCACGACGCATGCGTCGCACAAATCCAGCAAAGCAGCTCCAAACATTTGTCGTGTTCCATGCACCGATGAATCTTGAAGCGATCTTGTATTGAGTTGATTTTAGGGGCTTCGTGTGCAGTCTTGGGCGCTCCTCAGGCAGAGCAGGCGGATGGCTAAAATCAACCAGACGCATGCATCGAGCATGTGTTCTTGGTTGCTGTTCCTTCCTTGTCCCTCCCCCTCCCTGTCCGTACCCTATCAGACACAGGCTTTCCTTCGTTCTCACCCTCCCTTGACTCATCCACTGACCTTCCTCCCTCTCCGATCCACTCAAGTTCCTCTCCGCTGCCTCCAATCCCCTTGAATTCCCATCCCCTCGCCTTCCCTTTGCGTTCCCTTCCCTGCCGTCCTTGTCCCAGGGCGCGTGCCTTCAGCAGTTCTACCGCTGCCCGTCCCTCATCCTCCTTCTCCCTGGAGTTTCTCATGGTTGATTTTCACATGAACACGTTTTTGCCGATGTATTCATTGCGAGTGAGTCCGAGTCCGAATCCGAGTCCGAGCCGCCCATTTCCCCCATCATCCTCTTCGCTGCCTCCGCCTCCGCTGATCTGCCCCCTCGGTGACTCTTCATCCCGCGGCACTCTTTCGTGTCAGTTGTTAGGGAGTGTGGCGTGGAGGCAGAGGGCAGAGGGGGGAGGGGGAGGGCGAGGGTGGAAGGGAAGGCGAGAAGGCGTTTGGCGGGAGGGCGAGGGCATAGGAAGGAGGCAGAGGGCAGGGGGAGGTGGCCCAGAGGGGGAGGGGGGGAGGGAGGGGCGGGAAGGGAGGGGGGCAGGGTGAGAGGGGACTGGGAGAACGGGGACAGGGGAGCAACTGCTCCTTCTCGCCCCCGCCCTGCGAGGGGGCAGGCGACCTGGGGGTGAATGGCGGCGCCTCTCTCCCCCACCGCAGGCCTCCGCCTGCTCGCCCGCAGTGTGCGGCACAGGCCGCCGCTCCCGCCCCCGCCGCCCCTCGCGGACGCCGCGGCCAGGGTGCACCTCCTCCTCCTCCTCCTCCTCCTCCTCCTCCTCCTCCTTCATGCCTCCTCCTCCTTCTCCTCCTCCTCCTTGCCTCCTCCGCCTCCTCCTCTGGTCCTCATCCCTGCCTCTTCCGCATGCTCCTCCGCCTCCTTTCCTCCTCCTCCTCCTCCTCCTCCTCCTCCTCCTCCTTCTCTCCTTTAAGCCCTCCTTCCTGCCTTCTCCCCTTCTCCTCCGCCTCCTCCTCCTGCTCTTCCTCCTCCTGCTCCTCCTCCTCCTCCTCCTGCTTCTCCTCCTCCTCCTGCTGCTCCTCCTCCTCCTGGTCCTCCTCCTCCTCCTCCTCCTCCCTCCTCCTCCTCCTCCACACCCCCCGCTGCCCCTCCCCCCTGCCTGGCGCCGCGGCAATCGTCGCCGTCGGCGCCTGCCGGGGTGCTGCTGCCGACTGTGGCAGCCGATGCTCCGCGTCGTTCCGTGGCGGGGGTTGTGCATCCATAGTTAGGCGCAGCTTGGGGGTTCGATCTCCTGGGACCTCGGCAGGAGGTGGATATCGGTACATTCGGGCCCCGTGGCACATATGTCCGTGTATGTCCAGATCCCCCGCCATCCGAGGTCCCCGAAGGTCGATTCCCCAGGCGGTGGTTATGGATCAATCTGCGCCTCGCACCGTCAGCGCCGTCGGTGTTCCTGCAGCCGACGCAGCCGATTCACCGTGCCTTTGCCTGACAGCTGGACCTCGACCCTGCAGTCGAGACGCTGAGAGAAGGCCCACAATGGATCCAGCAGGTGCTTTGGCTTTCGGGCCGCGCCTCATATCTAGGTCGGGGAACCAATTCGTGGTCGAGAAAAGCCATTCGTTCCTTGTTTGGCGCTTTTGCCTGGTACCACGGTGACTGCACGCCCCCCCCCACGAAACCCATATCCATCTCGAGTTTCCGATTCTAGTGGGGCTTCGGGTATTTCATGCCCCATGGGGTCCTCGCTCGATCAAGGGCTCCTCCCAGGATCCAGCACTCAGCAGCGCGCGCCCAGCAGGCGAGGCGCAAGTCCAGCCCCATCTGCAGGTTCGGTGGCTAGTCGTCTGTTCACCACCTCGCCGGTTGCCAGCCTCGGCAGGCGGGTAGTGCCACTGGTGCCGACGTGCACGGGCCACGCCGCATCCCAGCGTGCTTGGGAAGCGAGCCGCGTGTAGTCCGTGGCCGCTGCTGGCTCCACCGAATTTGGCACAAGCTGTTGCCGAACCCGTTCCCTCGACCTCTGTCGGTAGTTGTTTCGAGCAGCGTGTCCTGGGCATTGGAATGGGTTACTTGACACGCTTGCTGGCACAATATGAGAAGACCGTTCTTACGACTTCTTACACCGAGCGGTTTAACATTTCAACCTGGCTACCGAAGCGGCGGTGCAGGGTACCACACAACGACAGAATGCAGAGACACATGGTCACTATTCTTGCTATTTCCCCGCCGCCTCCAGTACACTTAACGCGGAGGTGCTGCGGGAGAAAGTGAGCTGAAGGGGGAGGTATGGAATCTTGGCAATAGAGACAGCGTGTAATTTATTGGACAAGTCCCGCGTAATTGACAGTAGACGCATCCCTGCGCAGCTGAAGCAATTCGACAGAGGCGGGCGATGAAGCTGGCGACCGATGGGGAATGCAGCCATGCGACACGCAGTCCTCAATTTGCGGTCACGGCCGAAGGATCCCAACAGACGCTGAACGAATTACGCGACTCCATACTTCGACCAAACACCCGAGGCCGTGCCCGCTGCCGCGCACGAGCACCATTTGGAAGAGCAGCTGGAGCTGGACACCTATCGGTTCGCAGAAAGCTTGCGGAACACCCAGTGGGGCTTGAGTGCAGGCATGCTTGGAAGTTGGGGCGAGTTTTACAACATATGTTTAAGCGATGAACGAGCGTTGAATGCTGTGATCGACGCTGCCCAGCGCCACGTTCAATAGCAAGTTCCCAACGATACCGTCAATCTGGAGCGGGCGTCTTCCTTACAGCAGCACGATTCGCGGCATCCTTTCTGGTGGCACTTTCGGGTGTTTAGTTGTCAAAACATTAGCACAACATTGTCAGGACGATCTTCGAGCAGCAATCTTCCCCGACAATTTCGGCCTCTGCAACTGTGGCACAGATGCGGCCGTTCACCTGCAGTGCGTCTCGTACACCTGCCACGACGAGGTGAGATTCAGTGTCGATGGGGTGGGCGCCTTTGATCACGCATCTCGGGCCCACATGTTCGAACAGCTTCTGGCCAACCCGCTGTTTTATAAGCTCATGTTTGTTTTGGTTTTGTTTGTTTGTTTTTTTCCCCCGTCCGTCGCAGGTACGGTGCACATGTCAAATTTGTTGGGAGGATGACGCCATGCAGTCCCATACAACATTCCAGGGGGGGCGGCGGGAAACAAGGATGCGCTCCAATGCCCACATCGTGTCGCCTGGCTTTCCACCCTGCATTCCAAGAGTTGGACGCGGGCTTTCTGCATGTACGCACGCGGCTGGCACATTTGAGCGACACTTATTTAGCGAGCGACCTGGGCGCGCAGAAGGGATCTTGGAACCCACAAGACAAGTCTTAAGCGATGTATGCCTAGTGTATTACAGTGGGGGAACTTGATGGGACGTTGTAGAACAACTACGCCGTGCCCTGCTGACCAGGCGAGCTTTGGACCAGATTTGGGGAAACCCACTGAGAGGCCAGAAGACAGATGAATCCGAACCTGAGGGGCGTTGGTGGGGTGCGGGTGCGTTGCGCATGCGACCCAATGTCGCGCGGACGTCGCGGCGAAGAAGGCGAAGCTAACACGAGCAATTTGTACCGAGGCCGCACCAGTTATTGCGCACGACGCCCCCGCGCAATATACAGCCGAACGCGGTAATATTGGACGAACATGTTTTGGATGTGTATGTTAAGGATGTATAGGTTGGATTGTACTCTGAAGCAGCAGGAGACACTAATCAGTATGGGATCGGTTGCGCTACCTGGGTATCTCAAGGACGCCTTCCGCTCCTCATCCTCCTCCTCCCCCTCCCCCTCCCCCTCCCCCTCCTTCTCATGTTCCTCTTCCTCTTTCCTGATCCGCATGCCCCCCTGGCCCTCGTGCAGGCGTCAAAATCTGAAACAGGGCCAAGAACTCCAGGGCGGGCACCATAAGTAAGTGTTTAATCGTCACAGCCGCAGATCTTCACAGCAGCAGAATTGGCCGCAAGTTGGCGCGTGGACCAAGGTTGGCAATACTTGCCATTATGGAACGACGTGGGCGCCGGATGCGGACCTCCGCCTCCGCCAGGAGGACATTTTATGATCGGCGAGTGGCAGCGCGGGTGGCAGCGCCGCGCGCCCAATGCTGTCGAACGCAACTCGTTTGCCGACTTGATGGTTGTGTTGGCAGGTCCGGGGGCCCGCCGCAATGCGGCGACGGCTGGAGCAGCAAATCGAACGCGATCATGTCCAGGACCATGTTAGGCTGCACGGCTAACTGTTTTCCCCGCGCCCCCTATGCCACGCTTCGGTAGAATCGAACTACAGTGTGCGATGCGTCGGAAACTTGGCTTGGCCACCTCCTTCGAGGGCCCAGATGCGCGCGGGGATTTCCGTGTCGACGGCAGCCTAGGGGCAAGATGACAGGCGCGACATGCGACCGCGCTCGAAGCTTGGGGGCACGTGATTCCTGAGGCGGGGGGGCCTTATTCTGGACAGGAACATCGAGGAGTCGTCGCGCAGTACACGTGTCCCAGTCCCAACGGGACATTCCAGAATTATGGATATTGTGGTATTGTTCTTCAATGTTGCGCGCGGCCTGCAATTATTCTGCGACGCGTTGCGCCCCCCTCCCCGCCAGTTTCCCGCGACGGTCGTCCGCGCCGATGGGGCCAGCAGCAGAAATGGGCAGCTCTTGGAGGACGCTGAGAAGGAAGATATCGACGCACATTGGGAAGTGTGAAAGTCGTGACTCGGAGCATTCCACAGCTTGGGACCTACAGGCGGCGGACAAAAAACAACGCGTGGAAAGCGTGCCATCGCTGGCAGAAGACCGCGGGCAAAGCGTGAATGCCCGCGTCTGCCGGGGGCATGCGAAATGCCTGCTACGACGGTGGTGGGGCATTCCCGGATTAGCGCTGCACTGGGCGGTGGCAAACGGCGTTTTGCGCGAGGCCGTTGGCCTGCCGCTCTTGCGCAGCGGGCCTTCTTGCGCCCTTGCCGAGGCCGACTCGCAGCTCGTCGGATCTTTCGCCCGGCGAATCTCTGCATCAACAGCGCGTTCGACGCAGCCTTTGCCGGCTACCAAATATGCGAGAAGAGCGACTGCGAGTTCGAATTTGAAGTCTTGACGCGGATCTCTATCTCGCTTCCTCGCCAAGAGGGGGCATGGGAACGGCCAGTTTGGAGGATGCGATCACCGACGAGGGTGGTATATTTGTTTTGACCGCCGATTTCGGTTGCGGCATCCCCTGTGGGTCGGCGGCGCTCCGATTCGCGCGCTCATTCGATGAATGCGCTATGAGTCGCTGCGGGTGCCCAGTGGCTGAGCGGACCGCCGCGCGGACCTCGCATTGGAACGTCCCCTGAGCAAGTCCAGCGTCGTGCTCTGACATTTCCCCGCCCCCCATAAGTTGCCCGGCGATGTCGGGCAGCTCGTGGAAAGAACCCTGCATCAACTCCCCCTTGTGCCTGAGCAGGAGCCGCGCGGTCGACGTTCGCTCCGCCACGAAGCCGCACTTAGTAGGGCCCGGCGGGAGGGGGAAAGTGAGAGGGAGAAGGCCTTCTCAGAAGGCGGCCCGACTCGTCGTGGGTCCTCGTGCCCTCTGAGAGATGTTCTGCGTGTCCGGGGAAGTCTTAGGAAACTTCTCAGAAGGCCCGGGGGCTTCCGAACCTTCTGAGAAGGCCCGCCCCGTCTCCCTTCCCCCCCGGGCGGGCCGCCAAGGGATCGTCGCAGGAATGAGGCCGCGCTCAACACGTCTCTCGAAGTTGCGATTGCAAGCGAAGCCAAACCGCGACCCGCGCGCTGTGATGCGTGAGGCAGACCCCCCCAAAAGTTGCAAGGAGAAAGAAGTTCGTAGCTATTTGGGCCTCAGTGATTTGCCGGCCGGGCAGGCACTTCGGCGGCGCCGTGCATGCGGCCACGTTGCTCTGTCCGTGCCTCTGCATTATTGGGGGAATGAGGCGAGAAACAGACACACCTCCCATTGCAGAATCCACAGCGCCTCCGCCTGACCTGAACCTGCACCCCCTCATTCTCCTCATTCGCCTCCATCCTTCGGGGTTACCTTTGGGGCCAGGAGGGGTGTTTCCCCTCTGCTGAGGGCCCCCCCTTTGCGGTTTGGGATTATGCGGGTTTGTGCCCACGCAAGGTTCATGTCAAAGACCCGTTCGGGACCATCCAATTTTGTGCTCCTCTGTCTGGCTTGGAGTCCCGAGCGTTTCGTGGTCTGGGTTTTGGATCTCTCTCGTTGCCGCTGTTGCACAACTGGCGCCTCCACCTGAACCCTCACCTCCTCCTTCCCTGCATTCCCTCTTGTGTCAAATTGTTCAAGCTGTCCCGCAGTTCACATTTGACAAATCCTTTATACGTGTGCATATCCAGGAGGCCATGTCATCACCCACCTCCTGGTCTCAGCCGGGCACGGACAATTGCCCGCTGAGATGAATTGGGCACTGCGAAATGGAAGGACGACACATGGGGGGAGGATGAAGACAGTTGCACCTTTTGTGCACCTTCGGGGCGCTACGGGCCCCCTCCTGGGGCCCAGACTGGGTTCGAAGGGTGCACGCCTGATCGCCCCATTGATTCCTCGCCCCCTCCCGCGAGAATTGCCCAATCGTTTCGTTCGTCTGCTCGTTTTCAAGAAAGCGGTGTGTTTTGTGGACGTCGGGCTCGACGTCCAGACACATGACTGTCTTTTGGAAAGCAAGTCGGACGTCCAGAAGCACACAATTTTTTCTCATGTGTGGTGGAGGCCGGGTCCGGCCCCCAGACGCACGCAGTTCTCTCGGGGCTGCTCCTCCTCGCCCGCGCTGCTGCTGCCTCTCCTCCCCCAGTCCTCGCGGGCGCCCGTTCCCACCGAGGCTTTGAATTGCTGCCGGAGCAGCTGCTCCCCGCCGCCTGCGAGCAGGAGGCCTGCTCGGAGGACCGCCGCGGGGGGGGCGACGGGCCGCCCGCGCGCAGCAGCAGTCGTTCTCGGTCGGCGATCGTCTTCGTCTTCGCCCCCGCTTCCCCTTTATCCTCCTCCTGCGTCTTCGCCCTCGCCCCCCATCTTCCTGCTCTTGCTCCTCCTTCTCTGCTAGTCTCCCACTCCGTCCTCGCACTCGCCCCCCCATCCTCCTGCTCTCGTCTCCTCCTCCTCCTTCTCCTCCATACTCCCCTGAGTCTCCCTTCTCCCTCCAGATCTCTACGAGAAGACAAGGGGACGCGAGGACAGTCGGACGTGGACGGGCGATCCCCACACGCCTTCCCCAGTGGACTTCCGACCCAGAGCTGGACGGGTGCTGGGGCTGCGGCAGACTGAGGAGGAGCAGGAGGAGGAGGAGGAGGAGTTGGATAATCTGTATGTTAATTTGTTTACCATATGTTTGCATACATAGCGCACGACCTCAATGGTCCATGATGTGACTATGGCCTCCCCAGGGTGCAAAACAAGAGCTTCGCCCGAACAGGAGCACAGGTTGATGGCGAGACTTGCCCGATCCGACGAACAGGCCCACTGGGCCAAGTCGGAGCTCATCTTCGAAATGCCGAGGACATCCACACCTTGCTCGGGAAACGGGTGGTTGGTGCACGTGGCAAGAGGAGGAGGTGGGGGAGGGATATTGGGGAGGAAGATGGAGGGGCAGCGGGAGGGCGAGGGTGAATGGGGATAAATGAAGTGTAGAGGAATGAGGAGGAGGGGAAGAAAAGGAGGAGGACGACGAGCAAGGGCAGGAGGAACACGTGGATGAGAACTGCGGCTTGCGCAAGACAAACGTGGATGAGAAACGGGAGGAGGGTGAGGATGAGCAGGAGCAGGAGTCAGCGCGGCCCCGCCCGCGAGGAGGAGTGCTGCCGCGTCGCGGAGGACCCCGTCCGCGGCGACGAGCCCCCTGGCGGAGCCGACGAGTCCGCGGCGGTGGCTGTGGCGGTGGCATCCACGCAGTGCTCGGGCAGGGAGCAGACGTGGCGCGAGTGCCCGGGTCTGCCCGTGTGCGAGGCCCTTTGCGCCGCCCTCGTCTGTCCGTCCTCCTGTGGCGTCCGACCGCACGGCCTCTTCCTCCTCCACCGTCGCCTCCTCCTCCTCCTCCTCCTCCTCCTCCTTCCATCCCTCCTCCCCCTGCCCAGCATGTCGCGCCGCCAGTTCTTGCCCAGCACGCTTCTGCGCGACACGCCAGTCACGCCTCGGTCTCCAAGCATCAGCGTCCCGAGCTTTCGCCAGCCTCCCGTCCCGCGAAGCGGAGCGACTCGCTATCCACCAAGGTATAGGTATCGCCGGGGTAGCCGCCGCGACACGCTAAGCAGAAGTTCCCGTCCGTAACTCCTCTTCGTCTGACCACCAGACGCGTCGGTACTAGAAGGGCGGGCCAGGCGTTTCGCCAGAGATTTCCTGCCTGTTCGTGGTCCCGAAGCGCCGCGCACCACATTCCTTCCTCATGGTTGCTTATAGTTACACGGATGGAGGGAGGGTGCGCAAAATGTTGCTTTCGCATCAGCGCCGCACACATTCGTTCTTTCAAGTTTGCAGAGCTACACGGGTGGAGGGCGAGTCCGTTTCAAAATGTTTTTCTCGCACATTAGTTCTAAACAGTTCTACTTGTTGCGCAGATGGATGGGTGTGGGTCAAAACATGTTGCTCTCGCCTTCGCGGCGAGCATTTACGTTTGTCAGGATTCCAACGCTTGCACACATGGAGGGGGTGATAGTTTTTAGCATAGCTATTTCGCTCAACACTGTCGTGATCCGTATGGCCAGAAACCCAAATATGCGCAACAGCTAGATGGGTGGAGGGCGTCTCCTATTTTGGGGCTCTCGTTTGGGACGTCCACGTGCTTAGTCATCCAGACTTATCACACTTGAGGAACACGATGATTCAGGGCGGTTCATGTTCAAAACGGAGCTCTCGCCGGACACTCCTTTTGGCTTCGCATCATCTTACCTCGTCGCCGCTTCCGCCATTGTAGTTAGAAACATGCGTGGCAGTTCCTTTCTACACGGGGCTCTCGTCTGAGCTAGCCATGGGACCCCATGGTGCACTGGTCTTTCAAGCGGGCACGTTCTGACGTGAAGAGGATTTTTTCGCAGGATGGTATGAGGAGGGGACTTGAGACGAGTGGGAGCACTGTAGCACCGTTGATGCATACTGCGGTTACTCTTGTCCATTCTCCTCCTCCTCCTCCTCCCTCTCCCTCCCCCTGCCTCCCCCTTTCCTTATCTGCCTCCTCCTCATCCAGTTCTTTCCTTATGCATAACTTCACCCTGTCGCACCCCCAGACTAGTTGGTAGGACGGGCCAGGCTTTTCGCCTGAGGTTGCCTCACCATTTAAGACTCTGATGCTTGAACTTTGCACTAGCTTCACGGATGGAGAGCGGATCCTTTTCAAAGCGTGGCTCTCGCCTCAGCGCCGCGCACATTTGCTTTAAAAGGTGGCAGCAGCTTCAAGGATGGAGGGCTGTTCCTTTTCACTATGATGTTCTCGCTTTCGCGCCGTGCACATTCGTCCTAAAAGCTTGCAGCAGCTTAATGGTGGAGGGTGATTCCTTTTCGAATGTGGCTCTCGCTTTAGCGCCCCGCGCACTCGTCTTGAGAATGTGCAGCATGTTTAAAGATGGAAGAGGGTGCCCTTTTCAAACTGTGGCTCTCGCCTTCGCTCCGCGACAGATTTGAAAGATTCGTCCCAGGATTTGTCTTCTGTCACGACTTAGGATTGTCAGGGCGCAACGGTCGCCTTGATCTGCGGCGTTGAAGTCCAAGGAATGGTGTTGTGGCACGACTCCGCATTCTCAGACGGTTGTCTTTTCATGGGCCGTTTCCCGCATTGAAAGGGTGTTCTTGCAGGGACTATGACACCGAGGACATTGAAGGGAGGGTTTATTGCAAGATCTTTGATGTACTTCCTTTTCATCCGCCTCCTCCTCATCCTCCTCCTTCTCCTCCTCCTCCGCCTCCTCCTCCTCTCTCGTCCTCCTCCTTCTCCTCCTCCCCCTTCTCCTTCAACTTTCGTTTCGTCCCTCCAGGGCGCGCGCGAGGTCAACCTAGAACCCTAGAATTGTCTCTTCCCTCTGCTGCTGCGGCTGCTGCTGCTGCTGCTGCTTCTCTTCGTCCTCCTCCTCCTTCTCCTCCTGCTGCTCCTCCTCCTCCCTCTACTCCCTGTACTCCCTTGTTCCTTTCTCCAGCGCCCATCCTCCGGCTGCTGGCAAGCAGCCGCGTGCGTCGGCCGCTCTGGACCTCTTGCCCGCCTCCTCCGCCCTCTCCGCCTCCTCGCCCACCGCGGGCGTCGAGGCGCGGGGCCAACGGCCGGGAGCGCCGTGACCCGTCCGCCGCCAGCGGCCCGTCGCGTGCGCCGCTCCTCGGCCTCGCCCTCCCCGTGGGGCTGCCCGCCCGCCCCCGCCCCCCCCTATGCCTCTCTCCCGGCTGCCGCCGCCCCGAGGTCTGCTGACCGCTCGCCCTCGCCACTCGATCCCCGTGGGCTGCCTGCCCGCCCCCCCCCCGCCCCCTCCCACCCCCCCCTGAGGATGCAGCTCCTGGGAGGTTCACAGGGAATCAGCGGCGCTGGTGCGTCCGTGGTCGCACGCCGGCGCCAAATCCGGCCTAATCCCGGTCATTCCAGCTGAGTCCCGCTCAATCTGGGCTTATGTCGCGAAGTGCGGCTTCGTCCTGGGCTTAATCTGAATTGGTGGCCGCTCATTCGGTCTTAGTAGCCCCTTGAATCGTTCTTGCACATTCCGCCCAGGAGTTTCTTCCCCCCCCCATCCCTTCTTGCGCTGCCGCCGCCGTCGAGGTCTGTCGGCCAACGAACTGCGAGTTCGAGGACTGGGGCGACTGGTCCGCAGTGGGCGGCTGCTCGGGGCTCTGCAAGCGGTCCTCCGGGGGACGACGCCGCCGCTGGCGTGGCGACGGCGACGACGCCGACAACGACGACGACTACGACGCCGACGCCGGCGCGACAACGACGACGACCACGACGACCACGACGACGACGTCGGGATGAGGGGGAATTTTCGGTGGGCAGCGGGGGGAGGGAGAGGAGGAAATGAAGGGAGGAGGAGGCGGAGGAGAAGGATAAGGGAGGGGTGTAAGTAGGAGGAGGAGGAGGAGGAGGAGGAGGAGGAGGCGGAGGAGGAGGAGGAGACGGAGGAGGAGGAGGAGGAGGAGGAGGAGGAGGAGGAGGAGGAGGAGGAGGAGGAGGAGGAGTTATTTTGGTGAAGGAGATGAGAGAGGAGGAAGTAGAGGCGAATGAGAGGAGGATAAACGGGGTATGCCGCACCCGCCCAGGTCCAGGGGGCACACGAAGAACAATGAGTGCGGGAAGCCGTGCTCAGGCGGCCGCTGTCTCTTCTCTCTCCTGCTCCTCCTCATCATTGTGTTCTTGATTGACCGTTGCCGTTGCGAATGGGGGAAGCAGCGTGGGCTACAGCGCATCGGCGCTGCATGACTGCACCCATGCTCGGCTGTTGGGCCTCCCGAGCGGTTCCCTGGGGCGTCTGGCGGGGGAGCCTTCCTCTGCACCGCACATCCGCTGTCTCGGAGTCGTGAGCGTGCCAGGACCGCCTGAGGTGTGGTGGATGCAGACGTATTCCCGCGCCTGAGGGTGGGAAAGTGTCGCTGTCCACGGTGTCCATGTCCACGGTGAGCCATGTCCACGGTGTCCGTCCTTCGTCATGATGTTCAAGGGGGGCCCTAGAGTGGTGGAGACGAGTCCTGGTCCCCGCCACTCCCCCGGACCAGCTTTTCACGAGGAGCCGCTCGTCGACGGTCCCATGGGCCTCGGGAGGGCTCCCGGAGGCCGAGAGTAAGGAGCCTCCCCAGCCGCTGCCTCCAGGACCCGTCTCCTGGGCGGGAGAGCAAGGAGGGGAGCGTGATCCTGCCCGACGCGCCCGCCCGGGGAGGGCCTCAGGAGGCCGAAGCCCAGGACGTGGAGGTTCCTTGGCAGTGCGTATGGGGCTTTCTCGCAGGTCCATCGGGGGCATAATCTAATGGGTGCCTGGGGGGGGTACTGGGGCCGTGGTCGTGGTGGGGCCTCTGGGTGGAGGGGTGCTTGGGGAGAAACCGCTACCCTGTGTCTCTGCAAGGCCTTGCGCGCGTCTAGTTGGGGTCTTCTGTTCCCCGGTGGGTTCTGTGTCCACGTAGAGGTATGTAGTGTGAAGCTCTCTAGGGGCGTTTCTGGAAGCCTCGCTTCCCATCCCCCCCCCTCGCTTCCCCTCTTGTTCTGTTCCCCCCCTCCCTCGCCCATTTGCTTACCAAGGCCAGGCGCGAGTACCTTGATCGGATCAGTCGTGGCCTGTTCCCCAAGTTCTGAGCTCAACCTTTTAATAGCGTTACGTGGTGTCGGAAATCCTGGAAATCGCCTCCCCCGCCCCCCTACCTGCCAGGCAGTTCTTGACCGCCAGGCAGGGCGGGATATGATATACACATTGCCCTAACTGATTTTGAGCTCGAGGCTCCACCCTTGCGGCTCTCCCCCAAGGGGGAGCCCAGATGGCGCTGCGGGGCATGACGCATGACGCTTCCTCCTCCCGAGTCGATCCGATCCAATCCGCCCCTCTGCGCTTGCCGCTGCCGCCTCCGCCCGGCCTGCCCCACATTCCCTGAGATCCGGCGCAGCGAAAAAAATGAAACATCGCAAACAACTGCGACCAAAGCCCCGGACCACGTCTTTCTGCGCCAGTTTTCGAGCCCGATCGAGCTGGGAAGGCCCGGGGCCCCGAACATGGGGCGACGGCGCCCGGCTCGAAGGAAAGGAGACGCCCCGGAGCTCAGGGCTCGCCGCTCGCCCTCCGGCGGCCCCGGCGCTCTGCGGGCAGGGCCCTCCACGGAGACCGTGGCGCGCCACGACGACCCGCTGTGCTTCCCCGAGAAGTGCAGCAACACGTCGCAGGACGGACGGCGGCACGCCCCGACGGCGGCAGGCTCGCAGCGTGTCGTCACAGCGGCGGGCGTGCAAGGTGGAACGCCGCCAGTTTCGATGAGGGAAAGGTGCCCGTACCGCTACCCGTCCCTCGTCTTCGCCCTCTTGGGCCTCCCGAGAAGCCCTCGTCGCCACCGATGGAGGCACCTCGAAATTCTGGTCAGAACGCACCCGGGGAGAGGTCGGGGCAGCAGCGGGATCGGTACCTTTTGGGGTTGCCCTGCCGGTAGCCTAGAATCTGCGGGCAAGGTTCCTGTCCATACCCAGTGCGTCTTGGGCTTTCTTGGAAGGGGAGTCGCAAGGCTGAGGCGCACTTGATGTGGAAGACAATCGAGCCTCTGGGGGCCAGATGTTTATCCATGTCCGGTGCCCCTCGGGTTTCTGGGGAAGGGAGCCCGAGACTCGGCTGCAGTGGGTGTGGACACAAGTCTTGCCCGCAGAATCGGCCAACATGCAACGGCCTGGCGATCGAAAAGCCGCTGATCGTCCAGGGTTGAACGATCCGCGCGGTGTCAGAAACCAACGGCGGAGTCGTCGCGGCGCGAACGTGCCGAAGATGGGGCCGGGGGATCGCCCCGCATCGCCCGTGCATCGGCGATTGCGGCTCGATGTGCGGGGGGGCGATTTACTCCAAGCCGGCGTCGACGATGCATATCGCCGACGTCGCCGATGCATGGGCGACGTGGCGTGGTCCTCTGACCCTGTCTGCTCGGACTGGACCCCCTGTGGGAGGCAGCCTGCTGCCGCGTTCACTTGTGGCATACAGTGGAATCCCATGCCGAGAGCCACCCTGCTTACCTCCAGGTTGCCCTGGGCTTCTTGGGTTTCGATGTTCTGCGATGGCAAGCGGGACGTCCCCACACCACAGATCAATGGGCGTCTTGGGGTCTCAGGGTCGGGTTTTTGCGGACGGCTCCCTGTGGTCGAGCTCCTGCCGTAGGCCTCGAGACTGCTGAGGCCTTCTGCCGGCGAGTGCCCGGCCGCTGCCCCTGCAGGAGCTCCAGGCGAGGTCCGTGCCGTGCCGTCGGCGCGCCGTGCCAGCGCCAGGGGCAGCATCACGCCCCCCTCCCGGGACGGCTCTCGCTCAGGAGGCGGGGCTCCAAGAGACTCGGGCGGCTGGCAGCGGGTGGTGCCCCGACTGGGGGGGCGAAGGAAGGGGGCCCGAAGGGGGCTTCAGGGCCCCTGCCGGCTCCAAAAGGGGCTTGACAAAGGGCCCACCTCTTCCCCCTCCTCTTCCTCCTCCTCCTCCTCCTCCTCCTCCTCCTCCTCCTCCTCCTCCTCCTCCTCCTCCTCCTCCTCCTCCTCCTCCTCCTCCTCCTCCTCCTCCTCCTCCTCCTCCTCCTCCTCCCCCCGCCTCCTCCTCCTCCTCCTCCTCCTCCTCCTCCTCCTCCTCCTCCTCCTCCTCCTCCTCCTCCTCCTCCTCCTCCTTGCCATCCGCCGGAGAGGCGGGGCACAAGAGACGGGGGTCAACGCAAACGGGGGTCAGCCAGAGCGCCAGACCTTGCAGGATCCTGCAGGGCCAGGGGCGCACTGACCCGGTGTAGGGCGCAGGATCCTGCAGGATCCTGCCGGATTTTTGCAGGATCTTGCCAAGCCCGATTGACCCGGGTTTGGATTGATCTGGGGTATCTCCGAGATCGGGGCTCAAGACACGGCTGGTCACCGCAAACGGGGGTCAGCCAGAGCCCCAGATTTTGCAGGATTTTGCTGGGCCAGGAGTGCATTGACCCGGGTTTGCGTTGGGTGCCTCCCTCCCGGGATTGCTCTCGCTCAGGAGGCGGGTCTCGGAGGAAGACCCCAACTAGACGCGCGCAAGGCCTTGCAGAGACACAGGGTAGCGGTTTCTCCCCAAGCACCCCTCCACCCAGAGGGCCACAACCCCCCCCACCACGACCGAGGCCCTGGTACCCCCCCCAGGCACCCATTAGATTATGCCCCCGATGGACCTGCGAGAAAGCCCCATACACGCACTGCCAAGGAACCTCCACGTCCTGGGCTTCGGCCTCCCGAGGCCCTCCCCGGGCGGGCGCGTCGGGCAGGATCACGCTCCCCTCCCTGCTCTCCCGCCCAGGAGACGGGTCCTGGAGGCAGCGGCTGGGGAGGCTCCTTGCTCTCGGCCTCCGGGAGCCCTCCCGAGGCCCATGGGACCGTCGACGAGCGGCTCCTCGTGAAAAGCTGGTCCGGGGGAGTCGCGGGGACCAGGACTCGTCTCCACCACTCTAGGGCCCCCCTTGAACATCATGACGAAGGGCGGCGGGGGCGCTTCTCCAGAGAAGGAAGGCGTCCTGGGTGCCACTGGGTGCCATTCGGGCACCCCCTGGACATCACGCCAAAGGACGGCGGGGGCGCTTCTCTGGAGCAGGAATGTGTCCTGAGGGGGGGGGGGCTCCCTGAGGGGGGGCCCTCGCGGCCACGGCCTGGCGCAGCTCGAACACCTGGCACGGATGGACTCCAGGAGGGGTCGGGGGGCCGACCCATCGGGGGCTCCCCGATGACGCGACCGTGTGGAGTCAGTGGAGATTCGGGCTGGCCGCACCGTTGAGGGACTCGAGTCGTGGTGCGACCCTGAGGTCTTGGCATCTCGACTCTTTCGAGCTGGGCGTTCTCGCCCATTTTCGGGGCCCGGGACCCTCACAGATCGATCCGGTTCGAAAAATGGTGCAGCAAGATGTTCTTGATTCAGTTTTTTCGCTACTTGTCGTGACTCTGCGACAAGAGTCTCCGGTCGTGATTCTTGATAAGAGTCACGACCGGAGTCTCCGGTCGTGATTCTTATCCGATGTTTCCCTACCTAGGCTCTGCCTAGAGGGTTTTTACTCTCTTAGCTTAAAGGGGCTGGGCAGTGCAAAGCGCCCCGGGCGGTTCCCCCAGTCCCCGCCCCGCGGTTCCCCCAGTCGCGCCCCCTGGGTTCACCCAGCTTAGCTAAGCTTAGCCTAGCTTAGCTTAGCTTAGCTTATCTCATCTTAGCCTAGTTTAGCGTTGCCTAGCCTAGCTTGGCTTAGCTTAGCTTAGCTTAGCTTGGCTTGGCTTAGCTTAGCTTAGCTTAGCTTGTCTTAGCTTAGCTTTTCTTAGCTTAGCGTAGCTTAGCTTAGCTTAGTTTGGTTTAGTTTAGCTTAGCTTAGCTTAGCCTAGCCTAGCTTAGCTTAGCTTAGCATAGCTTAGCTTTCCTTAGCTTAGCGCAGCGCAGCGCAGCACAGCGCAGCATAGCGCAGCGCAGCATTAGCCCCTTTTAGCATAGCATAACATAGCATAGCATAGCATAGCATAGCGCAACATAGCATAGCATATCATAGCATGACATATCATAGCATAGCATTGCTTAGCATAGCACAGCGCAGCAAAGCATATCATAGTATAGAATAGCTTACCCTAACCTAGCCTAGCCGAGCCCAGCATAGCATTGCGCAGCATAGCATAGCATAGCATAGCATAGCATAGCAGAGCAGAGTAGAGCAGAGCAGAGCAGAGCATAGCATAGCACAGCATCCACTATTGCTGCTGCTACTGTTGCTTTCCTAGAGGCTCCAACTCCTAGGTAGGGTCGCACTGGGATAATTCAGTTTTTTCGCTACGTCGGATCTCAGGGGCGGATGTCTGGGGCGACCGGTGCCCCGAGGGCCCCCAGACCCGCGCGGGGACGGACCGTTCGGTGAGGCCCTTCGGGATTTTGAGGTCGCCGCATTCGCGGCGCGTCGACCGCCGGCGACCCCGCCGCCGGCGTGCAACGTTGAACGCCGCCGGCGACCCGGAGTCGGTCGACGTTGAACGATCTGACGTTTCGGAAACGGCGATCGCCCCCGGTTGAAGAGCCCCCGCGGTGTCAGGAAGAGCAGCGCCGAGGTCGGCACGGTGCGAGGCTGCCGCAGGCTTCCCGTACGCCGGGTCCCCCGAGGCCCGGAGGCGTCGCCCAGGGGGGGGGCGCGGAGGTGGCCGCGCCCTCGTGGGCGTTTTTCCCTACCTAGGCTCTGCCTAGGAGGGTTCTTACTCGCTTGGCTTAATAGGAGGGTTCTTACTCGCCCTGGGCGGTTCCCCCAGTCCCCTGGGAGCCAAGCAAAAGCAACAGCAAAGGTAAAAGCAAACGCGCGGTTCCCCCGGTTGCGCTCCCTGGGTGCCGAGCAAAAGCAACAGCAAAGGCAAAAGTGAAGGCAAAAGCGAAGGCAAAGCAAAAACATCGCATAGCATAGCATAGCATAGCATCACTGCTTCTGCTGCTGCTTCACTTACGGCGTGGCGTCGGCGGCTCTGGCGCTACTACTACTACTACTACTACTACTACTACTACTACTACTATTACTACTACTACTACTATTACTACTACTACTACTACTACTATTATTATTATTATTATTATTTTTTTATTATTATTATTACTACTACTACTGCTGCTGCTGCTGCTGCTGCTGATGCTACTAGTACTACTACTACTACGACTACGACTACGACTACGACTACGACAACGACGACGACGACGACGACGACGACGACGACGACGACGACGACGACGACGACGACGACGACGACGACGACGACGACGACGACGACGACGACGACGACGACGACGACGACGACGACGACGACGACGACGACGACGACGACGACGACGACGACGACGACGACGACGACGACGACGACGACGACGACGACGACGACGACGACGACGACGACGACGACGACGACGACGACGACGACGACTACTACTACTACTACTACTACTACTACTACTACTACTACTACTACTACTACCGCTACTGCTACAACTACGACGATGAGGAGAAGGAGGAACACGGCGTTTACCGTTCCTACTAATGTTGATTTCCTACAGGCTCCAACTCCTAGGTAGGGTCGCGCTGGGATAATTTTGATGCTCCTCTAGGGCGTGGTTCTCGCTACCTGGGCCAAGCCTCCCCGCCCCCCCCCCCCTCGGGTAACGCTGACGATCGTGCCGTGGGGGAGGGGGGGCCTGGCACCCC